GAAATCCCGTTATCTCTAGATCTACGGACTTCACTAACACACACACACACACACACACACACACAGCAGGTGAGTCCAGGTGTGACCTGTATCAGATGCATCCTCAGACCTGTCTGAGGCCCAGTCCCAGAACCACCGCACAGCAAACACGATTCTCCCAGAACCAAAGGAGAAAACATCACATAGGTAAACAGCACACGCTGAACGCCCCCCAGCATTCCCAAACACACAGTGAGTAAAACAGTGGTTCCCAACCCGGGGATCGGGGCCTTCCCGGCAGGTCACAGTGTATATCTGAAAGGTCACAAGGAAAAACACAACACACAACTACACAAAGTCCAAATCAGACAACAAGCTTCACAGGCCAAAGCCCAGTTGTTCTGTGGTCGAGTCCATTCTGGATCTAGTTCCAACTGTTCTCGGTTTCTTCTCTGACTCTACAGACGTTAGCAAAGGAAAAACGTGACGTTATTAACATCAAACATGGCCGACCAGCTTAAAAGTCGGTGACACAACTGCAAAATGTGACATCTGTGGAGGAGGAACGCGTTACAGTCAGCCCTGGTGCCGGTGATGAGAGGGATGAGCGCTCGGCCTACTCGACCTGCTGCCGCTGTTGTGTGGGCATCAGACCGTGGGACCGGGAGCAGAGCGACAGTCAGCTCACCTGCAGCCGTCGCTCAGCGCATCGTGCAGCAGAACATCAGAGACTCAGTTGAACTGACACCGACTGAATGATACAGGAGAGTGAACCGCCTTGTGACGTGTGCAGCTACAGCACAGCCCCCCGGTGAGGACAGGGTTAATGAGATTGTGCTAGAGCCCTACATCTCAGCTCAGCGTCTGTGGTTCTGATGCTTCAGCGTCGGGCCGCTGCCCACTGCTGCTGACAGTCTGTGTTCTCACGGTGCTGAGGGAAATAAAGCCACTGTGACCGACGAACTACTTCAACAGATCTGCTGCGCGTGTCGGTATGTGTCACATGTTGCCCACTGGGCAGCAGGACAGCGTGTGGGCCACGCTGGAGCCGTCTTCCTCCACAGCTCTGGGCGTAGTCACGTTCAGCTGCAGTGCAACCCAGTGCATGCTGGGAAGGGTCAAGCTGCTCTGCTAAGGGCTCCTACTCTGAGACGCTGCAGTGACACGCGCCACCACCAAACCTCAGGATCATCAGTGAGCAGACTGCCACGGGCCAGGGCATCATGTTCAGCAGCCAGGTAGGACTCAGGCTTCAGGCCGGTGCAGAACTCAAGGGCCGGTTCCTCAAACGTCTCAGATTTTCTGCCTTTCTCTGTTTTCTGTGATCGTATGAGGAAGAGCTTTGGGCTCAGGACTGATCTCGACATCCACCTGGAAACCGTGACCACTGTTTCTCACTGTGTTCTGGCGTTTTAGAAACTGAACATTTCATCAGTTGACGAATGGAAACAGTGAACAGAAGCTCAGAGGATTCGGGGCCTTTGTTCCAAAGCCTCCTCATCCTCATCTCTTAACTCTGATCAGAACACACCGTGGTCATGTGACTGTGTGTGTGACTCAGCCCACTGCTGCTGTGTCTGCAGCTGGTGATGTCACTGATCAGTAATGTGAAGCTGCAGCTGGTGAAAACATCTGGAACGTTCTGCAACAACGACCTGCACACAGGTCTGCAGGGTCATGACCACACACAGTCGTCATCGGGTGCAGGTGAGGCTGTGAGCACACCTGGAGTCTGCTGATCTAATCCTGTCCTGACTTTCATTATTGATTAATCAGCCAATTATTCTTCCAGTCGGTTATATATAGGGATGGATACTGAAACCCGGTGCCAGTAAACAGTCAGTGTCTACCAGACTGAATCACAGTGTGTTGATTGAAACCTTTGTCCTCTGGTGCTGTGAAAACGACACAGGCAACAGAAGCGTCACATCACGTGGTAACGCTCTCATTACACCTGTGCTGTGTTCCATTTACCTCGGAGCTCAGAATGAATGGAAACTTTTTTAATGTCGTCAACCTTCGTTTTATGTAGGGTATAAATTTCAGCCAGTCGTCGCCGCGTCGCCCCGGCCGCGTGGCCCCATGTACCTGTTGTATATCTGTAGTTTTACTGGATAACCAGATTGAAGCATGTGATACCTGGCTCTGTCTATAAGCTGGAAGAAAACTCAGAGGCAGGAAAACATGACATTGTTGAGCTGTACTGTGTTTTCTCTGCTGTTAGTACTGCACATGCTAAACCAGCACTAACACTGCCAACACTCACAACCAAGTGAAAACCTTAAACAGCCATGATGCTTTTGTTTGTAGTTGTCACCGTGCTGGAAGTGACGCTGGTCATTCTGTCACCATGAAGTCAGAAGAACAGAACTACCACACCGGTCAGAGGACTTAGCAGAAGTCAGACGTCCTTTCCTGTCGTCTCCTCAATCCACCCGTGATGTCAGGCAGCGTCAGCAGAGCAACCAGAGCTCACTTTGTCTCTGGGTCTAACACGGTTACTATCTCTGCACGTTTCCCTTGAACCGTTCTACAGGCATCTGCACTTTACTCTAGTTTGTAACGTCACTGCTCAGGCTGCACACACCAGCTACGTGAACATACACATCATGTCGTTTGTCTCGGCCTTAGTGTCCTCTGAAAAAGGAGGGAATCGAAGGCCGCATGGCCTCGCCCTTCAGATTAGGACCGTTATGGCCTGGTTTTTAAAAGTACTGATTCTGGTATCACAAACACCCAAAGGATACCCTAACCTAATCATGTATCTCAGTCAGGTCATACAACAGTGAGCAGTCGTGTCCTGTTTAGTTTACAGTGAATTATGAGATGAGCCCAGTTTGAAAAGTGCCTGAAACAACAGACAATCAAACCAGTTGTCTGTCTTTCTTCTGTTGATCAGCTGATTGATTCAGCTCTAGATGCACTGATGATGTGATGTTTGTCTGGGTCCAGTGTGACCACTTCCACTACTGTTATCAGATGATGTGTTCAATCAGCTGCCTGATCAATCAGCTTCCTGTCCTCCTGAAGTGAGGACATCACTTTGACTCTGGGCATTTTTAACTGTTTTCTGACATTTCAGACAAACAGGCTCTAACGCGTCGTTCTGTGTTTTAACCAGTGGCAGTCAGACGCCTGTTCGCTGGTTCCGGTCCTGAACTACGGACAGGAGCTCGATGTGTCACCTGTTTCGGGCTGTGATTCATGTGTTTGTCTTGTGGGAATCAACTACATGTCTGTGTTCGTCCGTGGTGCGTTTAGGGCTCAACCGGAGCTTCGTGTTCATCTCCTGCATCCTGACCGTCTTTGCTGTGTGACCCAGAGCCTGTTGCACTTTGTGCCGCTGCTCATGTTAAATAAAAGACACTGAGCCGCAGCGTGGTATGTGACAAAGTACCAGAACTACCAGGTAAAAGGCCCGTTCGGCTCGGTTGTCTTTTGTCCGAGCGACAGTCGAGAATGTAAACACGATCCGCTGACGGTGGCACCGAGCAGAGGAACCAGGTCCCGGCGCAGGAGAAGTGCGTGTTTGGCATTTTGGTTCAAATCACTGATCGACACCATAAAGGTCAGAAGAAGTTGTAGCTGATTTCTTTCCATCCACAAATCGATTCACGGTTCCATCTTGAACATGAGCGCACATCTTTGTTTTGATCACCTGACATCTGCTGCGCGCTCCCTCTGTAGGGAACATTACTGATCAGGGTGATTATCGATGAGCTGAACATGCCGCTGCTGCTGCTTTGGACTCGTTCTGAAATAAATCTGCGTTTGTCTCGTTTCTTATCTGAATCTGATCCATGCGATCGATAAGATGATTGAGGAGACGACTGATGAGATTATTGATCAGTTTAGCATCTGCTGCTGCTCATATCATTTACATGTGCTCAGCCCATCAAATCAGTTATTGATTACCTTATTGATCCCCTGAAGTCACATTGCAGGGTAATTTGATGTAGTTTTGGTGTTTGGTTTAAAGCATTTACTTGATGTTGAAGTAATCACATCATTCATTGATTTCTAAATTTGTGTCATTTTATTTGATAATCAGGTGATTTATTCGATTCGCTGTATTCTGGGGATCGATCGGATCCGTTTGGAGCAGAGCATCTTACTCATATAACCGAGTGGGTTTTGATTGACAACCTTCAGTCTGGCATCAGTGTATGTAATCATGTACATCGATCACACAGGATTAACATGATCATGTCTTTAAAATCGGCCTCGAAGCCGCCGACCGGCCTCCAGGTCCTACTCGGAGCATAAACAGAGATCGATCGGTTCTGGGAGCGCAGCTGATTCAGAGGATGGAGGCTCCTCTTCAGCACATGGACGGACGGATGAAGGCGGATTCAGAAAAACACTCATATGAATTTTGTGCGGTAAACGCGGGCGGCAGCTCATGGTTTGTCCGCAAAGTTCGGAGCAACGTCTTTCGGTGCTTCTGCTCCGATTTAAAACGGCTTTTTTCCTGCTGCCTCCCCTTTGTTCTTCTTTAATGGATCGGCGTCTGAAGCCTCGCTACCTCCCAGACCCCCCTCCTCCTCCTCCTCCTCCCCCCTCCACCTCCCCCAACACTCTCTCTCCACCATACACACCGAAAAACACTTGGGAGGCACAAAACGCCTTTTACGCAGCGAATTCAAACATTTAAATGGGCGAAAAACGCAAAGCGACCTGCCGCGCCTGGTGCAAACACCGAGGCCGAACGTGCCTCCAAAATACCCCGAGGGTAAAACCAGTTCTGCACAAGGTATCAACCCCCACAGCCCCGCTCCTTCACCCCCACTCACTTCGAGGAAAGCTGTGGAAAAACAGGACATTTTCACGCGTGAAAAACAAGGAGCAGAAGCAGAAGATGAGCGGTCGCGGCGGGGAGGCGAGGCATTTTCCCCCAAACATCCACACACATACGCCCCCCCCTCCCCTTACCACCCTCCCGCTAGCCCCAGATCCGCCACCCGGACCTGGAGAAGCCCCCAACCTCTCCGCCCCAAACCTCCAAAATGCCCCGGACCTACCTGGACGGAAACGCGCAGAAAAGTCCAATCGGTCATTTAAATCCACAGTCCCACGCGCTGCTGCTGCCTTTCCTCTTCTTTTCTCTTCACGTAAAACCTGAGTGAGCGGAAGTCAGGTGTTGGCAGCAGAACGGTCCGGACAGGTAAAAATTTCATGCGTTAAAAAGTGAAATAATAATCCAGAGCAGAAAGATCACGGAGCAGCGCGGCGCGTCTCCTCCATTCACACACAGCTTGGTTTGGCACGGCTCGGTCTGCCCCTGCTCCGACACAGCCAGCCCCCCATCTGGACCGTACCACCCTGCACCCCGGTGGGAGGGGGCGGGCAAATTGTACAAGGCAAACTGAACCGGTTATACAAAAATTAATCGGCACAGTAAGGTTCCGTCCTGACTGGGCAGGGTTTTTGTAATCAACCAAAAACCAGAAGTAAAGGCCGATGAAACGACAAAGGAGGAAGAAACGACGTGGTTCAGGAGAGAAACAGCTGCTTCACCCCTCCACAAAGTGTCCTTTGGTTCAGTCCAGCTCCTTAATCTGCGGTGTTATTCCTCCCAAAGCCAGATGTGGAGAGAGAGACATAAACGCACAGTAGACCGACAGTGAGAGATATAAAGAGATGCAGTGGAGGTGCGTGTATATGTATATACACAGAAAGAAGCGAGGGGATGCAAAAGATAAAGTGTGGTGCAGAAAATGAAGGGGTGGAGATTCAGTAGCGGTGGAACAGTGGACAGTGAGGGACAAGCAGAACCGGAGAGGTGGAGACAGCGAAGAGGGAGAAAAGAAAACGAGACATCAGCTCAGACAAATAAAGACGAAGGAACAGAAACACACAGAGAAGCTTCACACTTGGAGAAACGGCAGTGTTGGGCCAAACCAGGTGCTGAGTCATCAAGAAATATGTCCAACTAAAAGTACCAAACATCACCCTGAACAAGACACAAAGACATGCAGTGAAGAGAAATAAGGACCAGTTAGATACAAACACATATCTAACGAAAATAGTTAAATATTCAGCCAAGGGTTATACTCACAGTAAGCACTTGTACTTTGAGTGTTTCCCTTTTATGTCACTTGTTCTGCAACGCATGTATCTGGGTCCACTGTGAGGGTTGTTTCACTTAAATCCAACATGTCGCCAAAAAGCAAAGACTGGAGGAAAATCTGAAATGTACATGTGTCTCCTATGTGTCCCACACGACCCCTCAGACTTATCCACTGACACATTCAAGGGCCCCGACCTCAGGTTGGGAACCACTAGGCTGAACTAGCTGTAAAAAAGTAGAAGAGTTTAGTAACTGCTCTGATTTCATAACGAGTCCCTCGGAAAAGTCAGGTCAGTTTGTAGTGCTAGAAAGTAACTAAGTATATTTACTCAAGTACTCTAGTTGATAAACAGTTGAGGTCTTTGTACCTGAGTATTTCCATGTCCTGCTCCTTCATCCTGTGACTCCATGTCAGAGACAAACCGTGTACTTTTTACTACACTACATGTACCTGATACCTTCAGGTCCAGAACCAGATGAATCAAACCAAACCCAGTAGAACCATCAGACTCTATTGATCCCAGTAGGAAATCCACCAGCTACCCAGCAGGATGGAAAGTACTTCCCAGTATAAGTATATAAGGTAGTTACCATCAGCTCCACCTTTACCAGCTGCAGCATTAAAGTGATGGACACAGTAATTAGTCACTATGATCCAGTATCAGAGACGTTACTGGGACACGGGCCGTTCTGCTGGACGGGTACTGGTACTGATGGTACTTCAAGGAGATTAGGATGCTGATACTTTTGTACTTTTACTTATGTAACATGTCGAATGCAGGACCTTTACTAGTAACAGAGTATTTCTTACATTGTAGTATTAATAGATTTACTGCAGTAAAGGACCTGAGTACTTCTTCCACTACTGTAAATTTACAGTCATGATGATTTCAAATTAATTTACTACACAGTAATGTGACCGTTTGTACTGAAAGTAGTGTGTGTCCTTCTTTTAGGGCAGGTGAGAGGAGGAGAACCCGTGGGAGCTGGCAGGTGACATGTTGGAGGACCCCAGACGATGGCGGTGAGGGCTGGAGACAGCAGAGAAGGAAGTGAGGGAGGTATTAGCTGGCCTTTTCAGTGGAGGACAGGGCACCATGCAGCCGAGGAACAGAGGTGAGTATTAGTTTCTTCTTCCAGGCAGGAAGCTACACAGCAAGGTGAGTAGCCACTGTATCAGGCCAAGCGCTAGGCTGGGAGCTGAGGAGACACGACCAGAGAACGTAGGTTAGGGATCTTTTCTCCTCAGGTGGATGGTGGAGAAGATGGTGGTGGAAACAGAAGGTGGCAGTTCCTCAGGGGAAATCTCCAGAAGACACTGAGGACTACTGGCTGTGGAGGTGAGTGGCACGGCTGAGTGTAAAATCAGGCCTTGTTCACAGGTAAACATCAGACTGAAGGCAGGAGGCAAGTACAACCAACATCAGAATTTCCAAACATAAATCCTCGGAGGCAGGAGGAGAACAAATATGCTGTAAGTATGGCAAGACGCCCAAAACAGCACTTACTCCTCTTCAGTCGATTCAAAAATAGCAACACGATCTGCACTTAGTGGGGAAAAACAGAAAAATGATCAGAAGAAGGCAGAGGCACAAACAGGATGACATTCAGAATACAGAGCCCAAAAACCAGGAGTCCACAGGTGACTTACAAACACGGAGCACTGAGACAGGCAGAGACCAGGTCCAGTAGCAGGGCTCAGGCCACAGAGTTCAGGAAACGGCTGAAAAGTACTGCGAACAGCAAGTGGTGCCGACAGGGCAGGTTAAATAGGCCAGTCAACAAGGCACAGGCGACATCGGACAGCCACAGACTGGGCTGAGCAAAGCTGGGGCAGGTATCGTGGTGTAAAACAGGAGCTTCAGCCAGGAAGCTAGAGACGGATCGTGACAGATGTATTATTATGCATGAAGCTGTGGCTTTCAGCACACGGCCTCCTGCTGTGTGAGAAGCTAGTGGAGCAGTGTAACCAGAGCGCAGACCAGTGACGCTGAAGTTCAGGCACTGGACAAAGCGACGGCCGTTGGATGGAGGTCTATGGCGCCGACCGATGAACCAGGGTCTGGACTCACACATCACGGTGAGGACACCTCATTCACTGGTGCTGCTGGTCTCTGGACGGGGCTGGTGCAACATATCACAAACACTGCTCTCTGTTTCTATTCCTGCAGTGATTCAGTCGACCTGTGCTCCGTTCACTGCTCACACTTACAAACACACGGGTTTATCTGCTATGAAGAGCAACATAACTGTGAGTGTCGAAAAACCACAGCTCAACGCAACAGCGTGGTCACAAATTAGTCACACCGCCACAGTCTGCTGAGTCACACATTCAGCCACAGGCTGCAGCTCCACCATCAGACAATGAGACACCCAGACAGATGAGTGGACCGTTAGTCAGACAGTGATCAGGACCTGCAGACGTTGTTTCCAGGTCAGAAGTCCAGCGAATCTCTCACCTGTGTGCAGCGGTGGGTTTGCATTACCCGACACCCATCTGTGTGTAAGGTTCCTTCTGTGAGACAGATTCTGTGTTAGGACCGAGCTTTAATGGTGCACCGAGCAAAACAGCCACCAACAGGTAAGTATCAGTCAGGAGCAGTGCGGGGGGTTTCACAGGAAGCAGGTAATAAAGAAAGACTTACCAGCCATATCAGATCAGATGGGCCGTTCTACACAATGACTACTGCTACTTTGGATACTTCAAGTATTTCTGGATGCTAATACTTTGTCCTTTTACTTTGTAACAGAGTATTTCTACACTGTGGTATTACTACTTTTACCCGAGTACTTTCTTGACACTGGAAAACAAGATGTGATGACCTGGCCTCACATTTCAGACACATCCTGTGTCGGTCTGTTTGCAGCGCACAGTGTCCCCTCCTGTTATACCAGCGCTCTGTGTTTGGGGGGGGGACCAGCGTCACTTATGGGGACACATAGCAGAGATAACAGATGGGACTCAGACCCGAACACAACACAGGACTGATGTTCCCAGACTGATATCAACCCTTCGTCAGACTCCCAGTAAGACAACGAACAAGGTGACCCCCCAAATGTCAAAGTAACAGAGCACTGCTGGGACGTGTTCAGCCAAACACTCTGACTCTGGTGGAGCGGGGTGGGTTGTTCTGGTGAATTGAATCAAACCCCCCCAAACAAAAACTCCAGCTGTCACAAAGAACCGCAGTGAAATCTGGGCTCGACTGGCTGTGGTTGGACTGAGCAGCTCTGAAGCAGCAGGCTCAGTGTTTCCAGCAGCCGGAGCCTAAAATAGCCCGGTTCCAGGGCTGGGTTCGGGTTCAGGTTTAGACTGGGGTTAGATGGTGCAAGGCTCTGGGCTGCAGGCGGAGGGTGCACCCTGTAATCATCTCTCAGTCTGACAGCTCTGGTTTTCTCTCTCTCGCTTTCTTTCTTCCTCCGTCTCTCTCTGTAATTTTCTTAATTGAAGCCATTTGAGGGGTCGAGCCCTCTCCTCTACTCATCTACGCCCTCTCTTTCCACTTCTCCTTTCTTACAGCCTTTCCTTTCACTCAGGTTCTTTCTTCTCTTTGTTTTGTTCCCATTAATTTCACCCAGAGCAGTTTTTATTTTCCCTTCTTTTTTATTATTTCCTTTCCCTTAAATGCGTTCCCTCTCCTCCTGTGGATGAAGTGAGGAGGGACACCAAAAGAAGAGAGTGAAAGAAACAGATGGAGGTGGAGAAAGTGCAAAGGGTCAAAAAGACGAAGGGGACATATGGATGGAAATGAAGAGATGAGGACAAAGTGTGAAGAAAGAAACCCTCAGTAAAGAAACATAGAGAAGGAAGGAAAGAAGGAGGGGGAGCTGACAGAGGAGAAGAGGAAGAAATTGTGGTCGGCTTTGGAAAAGAGGAGAAACCTCATCAGTACACAAGAGAAGAAGAACAAAGACTCATCACATGACAGAGCAGCACTCACTTTATTTACAGTCTTAACCTGCTGAAACACTCTGTGTGTGTGTCTGCACAGAACAAATCCTTGTTTCATTACACTACGACCACCTGTGACCTGCAGGTTCGACCACGTCCAGCCACGCGCTACCAGGTGAAGGAAATGTGTTCCACGGCAGAGTCACCTCCGTTCACAGCTGCATCCGTCTGTCTCTGCCAGCGGCCGAGCTTTTGCTCTGTTTCTTTCTCTGAAAACAGTTTCTCCCCCCTCCCCCTCCACCATACCCTCACACCTCACCTCCCCCCGGTGTCTCCTCTCTGTCCTAGTGGAAATGGATGCTGGTTGCCCGTTAATCTCTTTAAGTTGGCATGAAACAGCGAGCAGCATGCGTGACAATGGGCTGCTGTGTGTGTGTTGGGTACAATAGGCCTGTGGTTACGTGTGTGTTTCTGTGGTTGCAGGATGTGCTGTGTGCTTCCTTCTTTATATCCATGCTACTAGTGGATGTGTGCGCATGCAGCTGTTCGTCAAACCCTGAGTGGAGTTTAGGTCGAAGCTGCAGAGCAAAACAAATTCTCTGTCCCTGTCTTTACTTTTACATCTCTGAGGTTTGTCTGTCAGCGTGTGTGTGTCAGAAACAGGTTGATTATCTGAAACCCAAACACAGCAGAACGCCACGACACACTGATCGCACCGGTTTATTTTACTCTTCACTTCTGTAAAACCCTGAGTCAACAACTGCCATGGAAACATGAACATCGTGACTTTGTTTTAACATTGTATGTAAATGTACACGCAGTTCGACACCTGAGAACGTCTTTATAGGTTAACATCACGTCAGAGTTGTGTGTCTGTCAGCTTGTTGGGGGGCATCTCTGCCCCAGTGGCCCTAAGTTTGATGACAGTCTAATCCGTGGACTGTATATAAAATGGATCACACTTCCTGCCACTATAAAGTGAAACCAAAATGAAGGTGGAGCCGTGGTACTGGGTTGCCAATCAAAGTTGTCAGTCATGTGAAAACACCCCTTTTTATATCCAATAACTTATAAGCAGCTTATACCTACAGCCTGTGAGCTCAGTGAGGGAGTTGTGCACCGTGGGGACCTCCCAGCTCCCTTAACCGACTGATCCTAGCTACTCACTCGACCCAGAAGTCGCTCCAGTCCACCATGTTGAAGGACATCTCCGAGCTCTTACTCCTGCTCTGAGGAGTGAGGAGGCTGCTGGAGGAGCTGTGAATGAGGATTCAGGACAGCGTCCTTCACTGAAGTCTTTGAGGGACCAACACGGCCCTTTATCAGAAATGAGTTGGTGATTGGCTGCTTCAGAGGAAGGATCAGAAGAAAGGATGACTCATATCAGCCTGTTTCCTTGACCCCTCTCTCCTCTTATTTTTTCCTTACAACTTGTGTGACAGTGGGACTAAGACACAAGACAAAAGACCCAAGTGAGTGAAAAGTGGATGCAGTTAAGGGAATTGAGATGTGCTCGGTGTCCGCAGCCTGATTGGATGATCACCTGGCAGACCCAACACAGGGCTCCTGGGCACGCTCTCTCTCCCTTTCAGGGGATGGGACAGCCACTAGGCATGGTGCCGAGGTGGTCACCGTGGTTACCACTGAGCCTCACTCTGACCTGATTTTTCCAAAAAAAAAAAAAACAATGAGGGGAACTTCAAAGAGGAGCTGCTCAGTTGCCTAGCAACACAGCTCAGCCTCTCTCTTGCTATCTGTCTTGTCTCATCACTCTATCACTCTGTTCCCATCTCTCTTTTCATCGCTTTCCCTCTCTCGCTCTCCAGCTTCTTGTTTGCTTACATCACTCCCACTTTTCCATTAACTCTCTCACACACTGTCGCTCTCTCTCTCCCACTCCACAGTATCATCAGGTTTCTACTCTACTCCTCAGAATCAGAACCAGAACCAGCTCTACTGGCCAGGTGTGTTGGACACATGAGGGATTTGACTGGTCCAGCGGCTCTCACTGTGTATGTGCAATGTTTTTCTGTAAGCTGATAAGTAAACAAGTAAACAAGATAAGACTGAGAAAATGGAATGTGCATTAGGAGAATACAAATAAAGTACTTATGGAAAAATATATACACACAGTTTAGGTGCACTTTTTCAGACAGATATATACAAATGTATATTTACAGGTGTTGCACTGAGGGTTATTGTCCAGTCATATGGTCATTGGTTAAGTGTTTATCAGAGCGACAGCCTGGGGGAAGAAACTGTCCCTGTGCCTGGTTGTCTTGGTGTACAGTGACCTGTAACGCCGTCCAGAGGGGAGGAGTTCAAACAGGTTGTGTGAGGGGTCAGCAGTGATCCTCTCCGCCCTCCTTTTGACCCGTGAGGTGTACAGGTCCCCCATAAAGGGCAGGCTCACACCAATGACCTTTTCTACAGTCCTGACTGTCCACTGAAGTCTGTACTTGTCCTGTTTGGTTGCTGAGCCAAACCAGACAGTGATGGAGGTGCAGAGAACAGACTCGATGATTCCTCTGTAGAACTGTATCAGCAGCTCCTGGGGCAGGTCAAACTTCCTGAGCTGGCACAGGAAATACATCCTCTGCTGTGTTTCTTGGTGATGGTCCTGATGTTGGACGTCCACTTCAGGTCCTGGGAGATAGTGGAGCCCAGGAACTTGAAGGACTTTACTGCTGATACAGTGCTGCCAAGTATGACGAGGGGGGGTAAGGTGGGAGGTCTCTTTCTGAAGTCCAATGTCATCTCCACTGTTTTGAACGTGTTCAGCTCCAGGTTGTTGCGGCTACACCACAGGACCAGCTGCTCACGTTGGTGTAGAGTGAAAACAGCAGAGGGGAGAGCACAAATCCCTGGGGGGCACCTGTGCTTATTGTCCAGGTGCTGGATGTGGTTTTCCCCAGCCTCACCTGCTGCTTCCTGTCTGTCAGAAAGCTAGTAATCCACTGACAGGTGGGGGCAGGCACAGTGAGCTGGGTCAGTTTGGAGTGGAGGATGTCCAGGATGATGGTGTTGAATACCGAGCTGAAGTCCACAAAGAGGACCCGTGCATAGGTCCCTGGAGAGTCGAGGTGTCGCAGGATGTAATGCAGTGCCATGTTCACTGCATCGTCCACTGACCTGTGAACTGCAGGGGGTCTATAGTGAGTGGTGTTGCTTCTTGGGGAGCTCAGGTCGTTTTGGGCAAGCTACGCCCCCCGTAACTGTCGTTACACAAATGCTGTGTTTATGATTTATGTAAATGTTGTTATGATGCAAAACCTATAAACATAATAATTAATTAGATGTAAAAGTTAAAGGTACATGTGGTGAAGTACAGTGAATTATTGTCAGAATTTGTAATTCTGCATGTTTAGCCTAAACACTAACTACTGCTCGTTTGCACTGTTGTTCATGTGTCTGTTCGTATTCTCAGTTGAACAAATGTAGAAAAACATTCTTCTGGACTTGGTTTTAGGTAGAAGATGTTTCACCTGTCATCAGTTCAGTCCCACTGGTTGTGAGCAGGAGGAGTTTATCCCCCTGGGTAGTGGTTCAGTCCTTCAGTGGCCAGTGATGTTTGATAACCCCTCGATGTTTTGTGTATCATTGCAGTATTTCTGCGTCTCTTTTTACGTGTGGTGAGCCTTTGTACTCATTTAGCGACTCTTTGCAATCGCTCTCCGTCTGTCCATGTCTTCTGTCCAGTCATTTGACTGACTTTCCAACAGTCACTACAGACAGAGGGTCTGGTCCAGGAACCCCTGGACCCGTGGACCCGTGGACCCATGGGATGTACCCAGTGGGCCCACTCAGTAATCCACCAGGGCCCAGCCTGTTTCCGACTGCACAAGCAAAAATCTGGCATACCTATTTTAGTTACCGGTACGAGCTGGTCTGAGCCTCACAGGTGCAGGTTTGCAAACTGGACCAATGCAGGACTCTTAGAAAAAAGTGTGAAGTGATCCTTTAAGTTCTACTGCCGCTCTCCATTAGTCTGTTTCGTCCCTCTCTCTATTTCTGTCCTGTGTCTCTGTGGATGCCTGTGGTCTGTCCCTCATAGAAAGAGCCAACACCCAGGACCGTGTGTGTGTGTGTGTGTCAGTAACTACTGGCAATAAGTGGCGTGTGCGGCCAAGTAGCAGCACACACTCACAGAAACACATACACTCAGCTGGCAGTGAGCTGCACTTAGTGGTTTTTGAGAATCCAAATGACGGACAAGAGTGTGTGTGTGTGTGTGTGTGTGTGTGTGGTATGATTACAGCAAAGCATGATGGGAGCACAGAAAGGTTCTGTGGTTCCAAAGAATAAAACACTAAAATGTGTGTGTGGTGAATCACTGCCTTTTTTATTTGACTTGGTTGAAAACAGTCCAACCCAGATGGTGGATGTTAACCAAGTACTTTTACTCAAAGTACAAACGTCAGGTATTTGTATGTTAATCGAGTATTTCTGCTTCCTGCTACTTTACATTCATGTTTCACTGTCTCAGAGCTGAATATTCAACTTTTTACTTTTTTGACAAACTGAAGAATTAAACAAAGCAACCAGTGATTTTTCTATGTGTGTCTGATTCCCCCCCCAACCCCGTCCAGAGACCAGCAGCACCAGTGAACGTGGTGTCCTCACCGTAACGTTGAGTCCAGACCCTGGTCCAGCTCATCGCTCTGTACCGTAGACCTCCACTGTTGTTCACCAGCTACTAACCCCCCCAGTGAGACACACCGCTGCACTGGGGGGGTGGGTTTCCTCAGGAAACACGGGAGGCATCTGTTTCCAACAACCAGCTCCACAGGCTGAGAACGAATCACTGTGCACAGTCTGAAGAAAGCCACACATTGACCTCAGTCCAGTTATGCTGAAGGTTAACCTGAAACCATGCTCTTCCTCCCTGAGTGCCTGTTCTTATACTGGTCTGGGATCTGGATGCTACTGTACTGTGTGGACCACCTGCTGATTTCATGCTGCTCTGCTGCCTCCTGGTGGTCAGTATTGGAAGTGTGTGATAGAAGCCACTGGGCGACAGGCAGCGTCCACCTGGACAGATGGCCAGTCTGTCACAGGGCTGATGCACAGAGACACCGGTCACCCTAACCTGCATGTGTTTGGACTGTGGGAGGAAGCTAGAGTAGCTGGAGGAAACCAACGAAGAAGAAATGTCTGCACAGAAAGGTTCTGGTCGGCCACCAGGTTCGCACCTGGAGCCTCCATGCTGAGGCAGCGGGCCGCCCCAACACCAAGGCCTGCGTTGGATTTAAGTAAAATTACTTCACTTTCAAATTTACTCCTACAACTGATACTGTAGTGCTGCCTGTAGTACAGTGACAGAACTGAGCACATCTCCTTTTCTGCCTGTTACAACAGCGATGATAATAGAAAAATCACTTCCACAGGTATTACAAGCTGCTGATCACTTAGAAGAGGCAGACTGGTTAAGTTAGTGCAAGAAGAGAAGGACAAGTTTATGAAAGAGGACAGGTGTGTGTCTTATGTATAAAGTGTATAAATTCAAAAAAATGAAAGAAGGAAATATAGGAACTAGGATGGAGGATGGAGCCATTAGAAGGATGTAGAAAAGGAGGGAAGGAAGGAAGCAAATGACAGAACAGGGAATCTGTAAGAAATGGAAAACAGAAGTTGAACAGTGAAGAGAGTTTTAACTTCAGTTAGGTCAAGTTTCCAAACAGAAAGTTGAGTAATAATGAAAAACCACGCCACGGCTCCGGTCTCTCATGACATTTTATTGCTTTACCTTTGAAGTAACAGTACTGCTCTGGGCTGCCGGGTCACTCTGGCTCACTGTGGCGAGGTTTCTCACAGTTTTCTGAACTTTTACAAACCAAACAATTATGTAGTCAACAAATAATCACGGGCTCCAGCCTTGTACAAACTAGCTGTACCTCAACCGACTGCAGGAGGAAGATGTGCACAGTAATGCACGAGTAGCCTAATAACAGTCTGATGGTCTACTGGAGCATAGATTACGGTTCTTTCGCTTGTGAGATTTGAATCAGGATTTCCTGACTGTGCTCACGTGGTTTTACTGAAGCCATTTTCAGTGCAGGACCTTTTATGGTGTTAACAGTCCACGAGCTGCTGGTTTGAAGCTCCTAGTGTTTTATCCTGTGTCAGTTGATGCAGAACACTTCATGTGCAGCTCTTACACGTATGTTGCACATCGTATTTAATCCACGTTACTTCTCTTTTTGAATATTTAAACTCTTGTTGACAAAATTAACCAAACCGGTATCCGAATTGTTCACATGCTCGAGCACTTTGTCAGAGTAACACACAGACGTGTGCAGAGGATCGAGTTTTAAAAACTATGTATAAAACACAAACACACACTCTTTGCATGAAAACCTGCTGCCTGCAAACACTCATGAGAAACTGATCCACAAACAACAACTGTCCCATCACATCACACAACAGTCTCACAGGCCGCGGCCCTTCGGTTCACTTCATCCCTTCATGTTAACTTTAATGCACTGATCAAGTCTAAGAGTCTACAGTAACCCAGCGAGGTCCAGTTCGACCAGTTCATCTCTTCAGTTGGATCCACTCAGCAGGAGGATCTCGGGGTCCTCGAGGTTTCTGAATGCGACAGTTAAACCCTGAAAAACAACACAAACACATTACATTGAACAGTTCAACTCAAACAGTGCAGTAAGAGTTCAAATCCCAGGTGAGGGGCTGCTCCTGGAACCAGCCCGTCCACTGGTACTGACCGATGCCACCTGGTGAACAGGAGCCGCTCATGTCCGAGACTGAAGAGGACATGTCTTCATAATCGGCGTCTGTTGGTGGGAGTCCTGGAAGAGAGAGGAGTCGGAGTCACGTGTCAGCCTTTGACTTTCTTCCTGCTCGTTTGATACTTCCTGTCCAAAGTGATCATATTTACTCCTCCTTTGTGGTTCGACATCCACCACCCATGAACCCTTATCCTGTTACCTGGCACCAGGTGATAATCTCCGCTGTCCCCCATTGACAGTGGTTCCTCCCCCACCCTGTGATTGGCTGGTGTAGCTGTGGCACAGGCGGGCATGGCAGATTTAGGTCGGGGTCTGACGACGCTGTAGATGGGAGCTGCTGCCCCCCCGGTAGCATCATTATCATAGTAGTGGGTGGGGGGCAGGGTCCTAGGAGCAGAGCAGCAGAGTTTAGGTGGGTCACGTGTTCAGGTGACTTCTGAAGCGTAATGAGGCAGCGCGAGGAGCTGGTGTCCCTCCCAGTGCGTTTGTACTAAGACTGGTACAAACTGGTTTTTCATCTCAACTGAGGAACTGACTTTTTAACAAGCCTGTGTCCACGTGAGCGAACAGCTGAGCCAACATAAGATTTATCTTAGTTTTACTTTTTCAAAACACTGAAATGACTCTTCAACCTCGACTCACGTTTTAGGGACAAACCACCCGCTCAGCCAGCGTGACGTTCATGTCAAACTGCTGAAATGGTATCACTGCAACTTTTATAAGTACAGGTACACTACATGGTGGATGAGTTATAGGGCCTAAAACTGATCTGGAGAGGAAGCTGAAGTGTTTCTTTACCTGCTCGACCTGGGCAGGGCCACGTCAGCGTAGGTGGGGCTTGTTGTAGGTGGGTGTGGATGTTTGGGCTTGTTGACCACAGCGTACGTATCATTCATGGCAACCTGCGTCGATAATCTGTATTCAGAGAGACAGACAACCAACTCGCTCTTCCATCAAATCCCAGTTTCATACTGGTGCTGTCACCAGTTCATTATGTAACGTGTACTGATTCAACAGAGCCTCTGTTCCCAGTCTCGATGCTAAGCTGGGCCAGGTCACTCTCTGGTCGTGTGACGTGTCGTCAGACCACGTCAGCAGTCAAGTGTTTACAGTTTTTAGCTGACATAAAGTATAATTTCCCATTATCAGCACATCTGACAGTTATATTCTTTAATAATCATCATCACTACTCCAGGAGGTCCAGGAGGTCCAGGCTGACCAACGGTGAACATAAGATTTCTCTTAGTTTTACTTTTTCAAAACAACACTGAAATAACTCTTCAGCCTCTACTCACGTTATAAAGGCAGCTGAAACTGAAGCAGTCTGAGATGATTTTACCAACTGACCAACAGGCAGAAGCACCAACGCTGTTGAGCTTAATGCAAAAGAACACTGAGAAAATAAAAGTTCACTTCCAGAGGTTGGTGCCAGAACATTTTTCTTTCTGAGAAAAGAAAGACCTGAGCAATTTATCAGTTATCAAAACTGCAGCCAGTTAATGTCCTGAGTCGACTGTTGAACCTGTGGGGGTGAACGTCCACCTGTGGGACCTTGTGTCTCCTGATTCAGTTACTTCTTCTAAACACGGCAGAAGGTCAACAGCTCTCACACTGATTTGGCTCCAACACAAAATGTTCTTGTAGTGGTTAAAACCAAGTTACCGGTTAAAATGTAATATGTAATAGATTACATATAGATACAGTAGGTAACGGCTGATAGTTATGTAAGGGTGAGTAAGCGTTTATATGACCCTGTAACATCTGTTTCTCTTCTCTGAAGTGGTTGGAGATGGGAACTATGCACCGACAGCTTGCTCAAGCAAGAAGATCTCGGTTCGTGTCCTCCTTGTTTAATTTATGGGTTCATCTTGAGAATAAACATCCAGAGAGCAGCTTCCCTTAAATGGAAGCTTAAGAGATGGGGGTGCGAATTGACGTAAGGGACAGAAAGAGCTGTGAACTCTCTACTTCCTGGTGTGACCACGGTTGTCATGGTTGCGCTGCGTGTAACCACTGTGGGTTAACCAGAGCGGCTGACTGGTTATGGTACAGCCGACCAGGAGGTCAAAGTCTGGTTACTGGTAGAGAGAGAACCAATTTGGATCTCAGTCTGTCCTCTCTTTAGTCTCTGTCCTCGTTTCCTCTTTTCTCATTTGCATTCCTTGTTTCCTCTTCTCTTCTTTAGTGCTTGCTCTCTCCTCTCGTGTTTCTGCTTCTCCTTAACTTTATTCTTCCTGTTTTATCTCACCCCATCCTCTTCCTCTTTTACCCTTCCTCTCATCTTTACTGTCCTCTTTCCACCCCCTTGTCTTTCCAGCACATTATTATGGCATGGTGCAAAAGTTTGGGCACCCTACACAATCAGTACTTAGTAACACCTCCTCTGGCAGATATCACAGCTTGCAAACGCTTTTCATAGCCAGCTAAAAGTCTTTCAATTCTTGTACTTGGGATCTTCTCCCATTCTTCCTTGCAAAAGGCTTCTAGTTCTGTAATATTCTTTGGTCGTCTTGCATGCACAGCTCTTTTAAGATCTACCCACAAATTTTCAATGATGTTTAAATCAGGGGACTGTGATGGCCATTCCAAAACCTTCAGCCTGCGTCTCTTGAGGTATTCCATAGTGGATTTCGAGGTATGTTTAGGATCATTGTCCTGTTGTAGAAGCCATCCTCTTTTCAGCTTCAGCTTTTTTACAGATGGTGTGATGTTTGCTTCCAGAATTTGCTGGTATTTAGTGGAATCCATTCTTCCCTCCACCCGTGCAATGTTTCCTGTGCCACTGGCTGCAACACAACCCCAGAGCATGATAGATCCACCCCCATGCTTAATAGTTGGCAAGGTGTTCTTTTCATGAAATGCTGCTCCTTTTTTTCTCCAAACATGCCTTTGCTGATTGTGTCCAAAGAGTTCTATTTTAACTTCATCAGTCCACAGCACTTGTTTCCAAAACGCATCGGGCTTCTGTAGATGTCCTGTTGCATACTTCAGATGTTGGATTTTATGATGGGGACGCAGATAAGGTTTTCTTCTGCTGACTCTTCCATGAAGGCCTTGTCTGTGCAAGCATCGCTGCACAGTGGAACGGTGCACCACCACTCCTGAGTCTGCTAAATCTTCCTGCAGGTTTTTTGCAGTCAAATGGGGGTTTTGATTTGTCTTTCTGACCAGCATACGAGCAGTTCTGTCCGAGAGTTTTCTTGGTCTTCCAGATCTCATCTTGACCTCCACAGTTCCCCTGATCTGCCATCTCTTAATTACATTTCTTACTGTGGAAACTGCAAGCTGACAACGCTTTGCTATCTTCTTGTAGCCTTCTCCTGCATTGTGGGCATCAATAACTTTCATTTTCAGGGTCTTACACAGCTGCTTAGAGGAACCCATGGTTGCTGGGTGTCCACAAGTGTGTGCACAAGGTTTGAAGAGTCAAGGTATTTGTACAGCTTTGAAATTGGCATTTACCAATGACAGCTGTTGCTGTGCATCAGATCTACCGAGCTGATTAAGGTCTGAAACCTTGTGAGAGACTTTGAGACTCTGGAACTCTTAGGGTGCCCAAACTTTTGCACCATGCCATAATAATGTTTTTATTTTTTATTTTTGTTCAATTTATGGCATAAGAAGTAACTATGCATCACTGTTTGCTGAAAATATTGTGCATTTTTTCCATTTCCAAGAGAAACTGTGTTAACATCTGTTCAAATATAAAAAAATCAACAAAATCTGTTATTTATCAAGGGGTGCCTAAACTTTTGCATAAGACTGTATGCTCTTCCTCCTTTTCTTAATCCATCACCTCCTACATTTTCATCCTCATCTGTTTCCTTTCCTAGCTCTGTTTCCTTTCCTTCACTTTTCCACCTATAGCTCATTGGTTTTCTCCACCTTTTATACATTCCTCCACTTCTCTTGTACCCCTTCACTGCTCGGTCTCCATGGTAACACAGTAACATATGGGGATGGCGTGATGGCAAAGGAGGGCGAGAAAGTGTTAATTTAACACATTGAGGTGAGACATCCAGTGTGTCTCAGTACAGACAGACACACAGACACATACCTCGTGGTGGAGGACGCAGGTGTTGTGCTTTTCTCCTCTGGTTTCTTCAGCTGATGAACAAACAGATCAGAACAGTTTAGTAACATAACAAAGGTCATTAAAACCCATTCTGCCTATAAAACTGGGAAACCCCCCCGTCCTGTTGTCAGACCCCTGACAGCCTGAAAGCTCACAGTACATGTTAACTGGTTTATCCACCCTCCACCTGCTGCTGGTCCACGCCGTGTTTAATGATTAATTATTGGTAATATTAGGAATGATCCTTTTATTTAGATGGAATGTACTGATAAAAATGCAATGCATGCATGTGCTTGGTAATCAATAAGTGTATTCTATGTGGCATTGAACTTGATGAAACCTTGGTTTTGCTTCTTTCCCACAGCTGTTGCATAAACTGCTAAATGATTATTGGTTGTAACGTGAGCCTTTCCACCCCAGTGGTCCTGGTTTCCCCTGTCACCCCTGTAACTGTAGGAATTAATTAGGGTTAACAACGTCCAGCAGTGGGAGCAGCTTGTCCTTACCAGCTGTTTGGAGTGTTATCACCACTTTAAATGGCTGTTATCATAATTATGATCCAGTAACAGCAAACTGCACCTATAGGCCCAGCTGAATTGGATGCTGTCACAACCACAATTATGGGTCAGTAGGGCCCTGCTCCACCTACCACCATGCTCAGTAGGTGCAACAGAGCAACAGAGTGTGCATGTGGCTGAAGTCGGGGTGGATGGGCAGGTCCACGGTCATTTCACAACCAATCATGTGTTCATAACTGTAACAATGACGACGAAGGCCCTTATCGTAACCCAGTCTGTTCCTAAACCTAACCACGCAGGTTTTATACATAAAGCAGGTGCACTGCATGTTTATTAGTGTAAGCATGACAACGAGTGTCTGTGGCATAACAATGACCTACTGAGCCTACTAGTAGGTGAGTCAAGCCTGCTGTGGTCACAGTAAGAAGTGATAATGGGCCAGTGAACGGCTCGACAGCAGGCCTGAAATGTCAGGATGACAGTAAACTGTCTGCAGTGAAATAAAGATAAGACAGAGGTCAATGTGTGGAAACACAAGTGGAAGAATGAAAGGTCATGTGCAACTTGAATCCAGATCTATCAAGACAAGACGTCTGGTCAGATGTCTTGGTGTCCAAACGGATCGAATATTATTGATGAGATAAACGAGCTATTCTAACTACTGTATGATGAGTAATAAGGAGGAGCACAGAGCGCACATGGCCATTCTGTGGTACCAGTGGGGGGGCAGAGAGAGAGAACAGTCTAACAGGGACAGAAGCTTCTGCTGAAGCCGCCAGTCTGTCTTCACGCTGCCATATCTGAGGCCAGCAGGGTGAACAGGTCGTGCTGTGGGTCGGTGGGTTCTGGCTGGTGCGTCTGGTGAATGTCTATTACTGGTGTGAGAGGAAACTTCAGGGTTTTCTCTGCTGATTCCACCACCCACCAAAAACCTGTTAAACGACTTCATCTTGGTCAGAAGGCTGCAGCTTGAGGTTGAGCTAAAACCCAGAGAACTGCGCACATCGCTCCCGTTTACACTGGCTGCGGGTTTCCTATAGGGCTCAGGTCACTGGGCGGTGTGGGTACGCAGGGCGTCCCCGACCTGTTTAAAGAATGAACCGAGACGGTGGCTAAGACCTCTAAACCCCAGCCAGTTGGTAGCCCCCCCAGGTCAGAACCAAACAGGGTGAAGCTGAGCTGAAGGTGCTTGGCATCAATGCGCGATACAGTTAGTCCCTGATGGTGACACCTCATAAAGCGCGACACGACGTGGGCGAGCAAACAGGGCGCGGGTGTTTGTTCTGTTTCACACCAACAGTCGCTGCTGTTACTTTAGTCTTCACCTGAAGCCAACATGCGGTTCGCGGACCTAATATAGTTACGACCTATAAATGGTGTCTTATTAGAAAGTGATCATCATTATTATCACCGACTGTCTTTAACAACATAAAACCCACGTTGCACGTCTCAGTCTCTTGTTTAATGAGGAGAACGGGCTGTTTCTACACATCAGTTTCCCTTTTTGTCTCACCGACCTACGTCTGTTTGTCCACGGATTAAGAGGCAAAAGCAGCGGTTTGACACACCTACTGTCAACACGCAACTGAATTTCTAACGTAAAATAAAGAAAACGACCTGGATGACCGAGAAAAATAAGAAAATCTAATGATCCATGACAGTGAGCGACACAAAACCAACACTGTGTGTGGCTGTAGATCCTGTTGGAGTGGACCTACCTGTCACCAGGTCTCGGTTACTGCTGCCACTTTGGTCTGAGCAGGTTTATTCCAGTTAAATGTTTCTCGGCAGATACTTCTCTATTTGTTCGGAACAACCAGCAGCTAATGTACAAGCAGGAAAAGGGCTTTACCGCTTCCTCTTTCTGCAGCTGCTCTCTCTCTCTCTACTTCCCCCACCCTGAGTCCAGCGCACTTCTCTATTAGCACTTCACGGTACAGTTAAACAGGGGGTTTGTGTGTGTTTCACCTCAGGCAGGCTGCAGCACAGCTGACCCCCGGACGACTGCAGGGCCCGCTCGAACATACAGGTGACAGCAGTGAAGATGAACCGATACTGATCCTGCACAGAAGAAGAAAGACGTCCATCATCACACTGTGCTCACAACGTTCAAAGTGCAGCTCAGTTTCACACGTGACGTGTCAGGGTCTGATTCAGCTTTAGAGATGGAAGTTTGTCTCCGAAATAAACCCACCCGGGGCCTCTGAGAGGAGTCGGACAGGTGAGGGAACATGAAGCAGGTGTGAGGTCTGGGGACTCCTCCAGCCTCTGGCTATCGCGGTTAGTGATGGGTTTTCATTAATGCAGTATTATTCCACAAACTGATGAATTCACACAAAGAACAAACCTATTTTTGACTGTTTATGGCCTTTTTCTCTCTTTGTGGTGGTTTTCTGTTATATCGGATCTAAAAACTGTAATCTGTGTTTTTACTGGACTGATCCTGTCTGGGGGTAGGACTGGTCACGTGATTTAACAGTCAGTGTCATGCTGTGAAACCACCCACTTTAGTCTGGACTGCAGAGGGCCTCTGCCTCCTGAGCTGCTGGACGATCTTCTGGATGCTGAAATCTGCTGTGAGCTGCTGCAGAACAAACACACACACTGGTTGGTGGACACACACACACACACACACCCAGGGTAAAAAGGGTAAAAAGTGAGCTGTGGGCCCCTGTTGAGTCGTGTGCGTCCCCATGCTTAGTTAAACCCCAGTCTATTCAGGAATAGTGACCATGTCAGCGTAACTGTAAGTGAAATATTAAAGGCTATAAACTTAGATTTTAACACAACACAGGAGCTCGAGCTTTTGCACAATGTCCAGGTTTCATTTATCGGGGGACTTTAGGACCCTAGGCTGTTGCCACTAATCCAGTGCAGTGAGAAGCCAGTGGACCAGTGTAACCAGAGCAGAGACCAGTGACTCTGTGCACAGTGCACACACATATTACGGCGGGGACACCACATTCACTGGCGCTGCTGGTCTCTGGGTGGGGGGTGTGGGGAATGACTAATCCTTATCCTTTAGCAGAGTCTAGTAAAAGTACTGAGTGCAGTACTTCTGTTCACCCTCTTCATCGTGGCACCGAGTGGTTTTGTGGTTAGGCGTTGTGTTACCTTGGTAACCAGCAGGTCATGGATGTAGTCGAGAGCGCAGATGACTCCCGTCCTCCCACAGCCTGCACTGTAACACACACAGACGCACAGCAACAGATGCAGCGTGCATGTTAACTGTGCCATCATTAGCATGTGTTAGCTGCTGCATATTCACATCCTCCTGGTTTCTGTGTGTGGGCGCGCGCACGTGTGTGAGAGCTACACTGCCACATGTATGATATGGCCTGTTGAATGTTAATGGCCATCTGACCTGCGATCTGCACTGCTGGCAACAACAAGCTGCAGCAGTGATGTGGAACTAACAGCAGCTTCGAGGACGCCTGTGTGTGTGTGTGTGTGTGTGTGTGTGTGTGTGAACACATCTAAGTTTGATACCACTGATGTGAGGACATGTTGCCTAAGGGCTGCCTGAGGCTTCAGACTTAGTTTTAGAGCCAGTTTTAGGGGCTGGGGGGGCAGTCTGTCAGTGAGGGTCCTCACTAAAGTAGAAGGGGTAGAGAATGTGTGTGCATGTGTGTGTGTACCTGCAGTGCACCAGCAGAGGCGAGCCATGTGCTCCCTGGCTGTCTCTGGCTCTCTCCAGCAGGTCCAGGACTCCTGCAGCTTCGTAGGGAACGTCGTGATCCGGCCACGACAGGAACTGATACTGGATCACTGCACGGCAGTCCTGGATGGGGGGTGGGGGGTCATACACTGAAAATTTCTCTACAGTAAGCACAGAAACAGTGTGACATGTTGAGGAAAATGCATTGAGTCAGTGCAGCAGTCGTAGGAACCCTCCAGATGAAGCCTCCGTTGCTCCACCACCCTAACCCATGTTTGTGCTTCAGTTAGTCTCATAAAGTTTATTTAGTCCAGATTTCTATTAGCATCAATATTCCCCATTTCACGGCTTCATGGCCTGTAGTTTGTGCATGTTTTATTAAATGCTAGCCTCACTGTTCTGTTCTCCTTTTGTTTTCATTCTGCGGGTTTATCAGAGCCCAATAAGTTTGTCATTTCACATATGATGACAACTCAGGCCTGGGATTCCAGGTGACACATACTAACCCAGGGACATTTACAGCAACACTTAATAATGTGAAATGGACTAAAGTTAATTAAGACAAATGTATGAGTTTTTTTCTTACTCAATTTAGTCCATGGCCAAGACAGCAAACCCCTAGTTTTCCCCACAGGGACTAATAAAGTATATTACATTTAAAATTTAAAAATTCTTTGTGTCTGTGGCAGTTGTCAGGCCGGTACGTTGCACATGATCAGAACACAGATGATGCTAAGCTGATCTAACCTGATGGGAAGCTGTTACCTGCAGGTATGTGACAGCCAGCGTTCTGACCACCACATCTTCACTCGGATGTGTCTCCCCCTGCTGGACACACACAGCAACAACACGTCAGATGTTCAACCCTTTCTGTTTCGCGGATCCTTTGCTAATCTACCACAGCAGGGAAACGTGTAGTGTTACAGCAGTAAACTGGCAAAACAAGTAAACAAAGTCATCAATTAACTTTTTCACAGACTCTCATTAAGTGCACAGCTTTGGTAAGCAGTCTGTTGGGACCTGCGTTGATTGGAAAGTGACAGAAGGTGGAGGAAGGAGCTGCAGACCATCTCAGCAAAGCCGCCTGTCAGTGACGGAGCTGCCCAGTGTTATCAGGGGTGACAAGTCTCCCTCCACCTCCGCTGGCTCAGGAGGACATGGCTGGCCTTGTCAGCCGGCCTGTCAGTTTCCCCTGATGTGAAACAAAACCAAACCTCGATCACAGAAACAACTGTTTCATCTTAAACACGTGGACGGATCCTGAGACAACGGGTTCCTGGGCCCCCGTCCTCCTACAACAGACCTCCAGACTGACAGAGACACAGACAAGTCTTCTTGTAGTAGGCTTGTTTCTCCTTGTGGTCTTTACATGCGTCTCTTTGTCTCTTTGAGTCTTTGCAGTTATTGTTCGTGTACATTCTCAGTCATCCAGGTCGTAGTAGACTGAAAAAACTCTGAGCTGACTGAACCTCTTGGATGAAAGGTGAAACGTCTTCTACCTAAAACCAGGTCCACATGAGTTTTTCTACGTTTTTTCAGCTTTACAATTTCGGCATCATTTTTGTAGTTATTTTGTATCTTTGTGGTCATTTGGCATCCTTTTTGTTTTGAGTCTACTGGTGATTTTGCCCATCTTCATCTCTTTATAGGCACTCTGCACATATTGGCGTCATGTAGCTGTGATTCTCTGAAGCTTTTGTGCATCCCTTTATATTTTAGAGATTTTCCCCACTCAGCGACACACCCACTGAGAAAACAACTCTGGTAATCGGAGACTCCATAGTCAGAAACGTGAAGCTAGAGACACCGGCGGCCATAGTCAAATGTTTTCCTGGGGCCAGAGCGGGCGACATTGAATCCTATTTGAAGCTGCTGACTAAGGATAAGCGTAAATACAGTAAGGTTGTTATTCACATTGGTGCTAATGACTCCTGACTTCGCCAGTCAGAGGTCACTAAAATAGGGGTTATGCGCAACTTACTTCCGTATACTGCAAAACAGAATCATCCGTTTCCGGTTTGCGACTAGTATGAAATATGGCACTGTTCTACTCAAGATGTCTCCAAGAACTACCAAAGA